CCTTTCCCACTTTGCCTTCCTCTCTCTCACCTTCTCAGGAAAAATAAATACTGAAACCTAGATTCTTAATACTTACCTCTATTTCTTTTCTTAATTTTTCATGTGTCTTTTTCTCTTCCTCAATAAAACAAGTTTTTTTAATGATAGATTCTTTCGCAGTTATAATTCTATCCTTTAGCTTTGTAATGTCTTCCTGTATGTTTATAAAATTTAAAAAATATATGTTATTGGTCATATAAATCCAAGCTTTTCCATGTTTCTATAATTTAAGAAAATTAGTTGAATTAAATCTAATTGTGATAAATAAGATTAGAATATTACTTCTATAGGTATGTAGAATAAGTAACTATTATTATAACAAACTTAGATTTGTAAACATCTAAATGAAAACCAAAGGAAAAAAAGACACAAAGGAAAGTGGTAGTTATGCTGGCAAGTGCCCACCAACGACATCAATAATACTTTTTAATTCTCCAGCAAGAAATGAGAGGTATTTTAGGTTTTATCTTCTATTGTCTTCCAAGAACAGTAAGGGAGATAGATGCTTAAGGTGCAATTATTAATTTGTATTGTTTACATAACAGCATTAAGCATACTAAGTTGATTTGAATTGGTCTGAATCAATTACCATAAAAGCTAAGGCCTCAACATTTTTATGAATTACACTTTCTAAAACAAATGAATTAATTGTTCACTGTGATTTTGTTTTCTCATGTATTTTTATAAATCCACAGGGAGTTTTTGAATGTTTCCTTTATATATTTGCACATTTGAGATGGTTGTTACATAACTCATATATTTATCCATGTTTTATTAAATTATAAAAATAGTTTCTGAATATAGTATAAGAGCTACAGATATTTTATTAACTTAAAGATAAATTTATCACTTAATGTATGTACTTAAAAATAAAGGACTAATATAAAAAGTTTTGATAAGTAATAATTCAAACCTGTACTTGTGTTACTTTATTCCCTCCAGGATTTTGGAGATCTTGCATAAGTTCCTCTTTCACTGTCTTTAGTTTTTTAATAAGATTTTTTTGTTCATGGAGTTCAGTCATAAATGACCATTTGCTTTCTACCTCATTCAAACTATCTTTATGTGCTTTAATTTTTACATAATATGCATTATATCTTATCATACGTTCCTCAAAATCTTCCTGGGTTGTTTCTATGTTGAAGTTAAGGTTTACATTTTCTGTATGTAATGATTTGATTTGAGTTTCCAGGCTTCCACATCGAAGTTTTGTATTCTCTATGGCAGCATCTTGCTGATAAATTTGCCTCTCTGTTTCCTTAGTTTCTGCAGAGACAGCTACTACTTGTTTCTCAAGGTCATGAAGTTCATTCTGTAATAAATTTCAATATTATCATTAACTCATAATATTCAACATGAGCGGAAAGTCATTGTTTTGAATCATAATACATGCAGAAAACCACTTACCATGAAAATATATATTTACCAGATATAGAAAAAATTGATATATAATAAAGAAAACATGTAATATAATTATTTTATAATCTCAGAAAGATCCCAGTTTCATATTTCTTACCTTTCAATATTGCTATAACTCAAAATATTAAATTTTCATCATTTTGTTTTAACATTTTATAGGTAAAATATATTTTATAATCATTTTAATAATATAGGCATTATGGGATCAGCAGCTGGCATAATTGTTACGTCGCTGGACTCCCATTTAGTCAACCGCGGTTTGAGCCCCGGGCCCAGTGGCTTAAACGCACACCAGGCATGTGTGCGTGCATGCTCAAGATCCCAAGAGGACAATGGAGGAGAAGAGATTGTGGTATGGCCATCCCTGCGGGGGGGTGATTTCTTGTTTTCTGTCTCCCTGTCTGTCTCTGTTTTTCTGGTGAGCACACGTGTCCTATAGCAAAAACCTCTCAAAAAAAAACAAAACCAAAAACCCTCTCAAAAATAATTAAAAATTAAAAAACGCCCCCCCTAAAAAAATATAGGCATCAGATGTACACTGTCAAGAAAGACAACTGATAAAAGATAAAACTCCTTTGGGTAGATACCCAGGAATGTAATCACTAGATTACATGGTAGTTCTACTTGTGGGTTTTGAGAATCTCCATATTATTCTCCACAGCAGTGGTACTAATTTACATTCCCACCAAGGTGCAAGAGAGTTCCCTTTTCATCCCAGCTTCATCAGCACTTATTATTATTTATTTTTTTTAATCTCAGTCATTGTAACTGGGGTTAGATGGTATCTCACTATGGTTTTGATTTGCATCTAGCTAATAATAAGGGCTATTGAGCATTTTTTCATATGCTTTTTGGCTGTTGTATGTCTTCTTTGGAGAATTGTCTGTTTCACTCATTTCCCATGGGGAATTAAGGGGGGGGAGGGTAGGAAGCAAAACAGTTAACGAACACAAAAATGGGAAATTATCTGATGATAACGTGTGTGGTAATATCTTGACTAGAATAATATACAGTGTGTTCATGCTGGGAAAATCCACGTTGTATGCTATAAAGATGTACAGTTATTGAATGTAAAAACAATAAGAAAATAAGAGGAAGAAGAGGGGAAGAAAAAAGGTAAAACTCTGGGTTAAAAATCAAAAGATCTAGGGACCAGCAGTTGGTGTAATGGCTATGTCGCTGGACTCCCATGTAGTTGACCACGATTCAAGTCCTGGACCCAGTGGCTCAGACTCACGCCGGGCACGTGTGCATGTGTGCCCAAGATCCTAAGAGGAGAATGGAGGAGAAGGGATTGTGGCGTGACCATCCCCCCTAGGGGGTGATTTCTCGCTTTCTGTCTCTGTCTTTCTGGAGAGAGCACGAGCCCTATAGCAAAAACCTCTAAAAAAAAAAATCAAAATCTAGGCTTCAGTTCCTTTAATGCTATTTACTAGTTTGTAAAATCATACATAATAAACTAAATCATCTCATCATAATATTACTTTCTTAATTTAAAAATGAATGTAAATGTATGGCCTTTGCTCCTTGGATCATTTGGCATCACAAACTGCTGCCTTCTTAAAACCAAGCTTTCATACTACCACTGTTCTCTTGTTCTCCTTAGATAACTCTGAGCATTTTTCTCAATCTTAATGATTCCTTCAAATATAGCCCTTTCTCAGAGTCAGTCTTCATAATTTTCTCTTCTCACTCTAGATGTACTCCTTGGGTAATCTCATCTATATTCATATCCTGAGCTATACTACTATCTGCTGATGAGTCACAGAATGTAAATGGCTGTTAATTTCTATGCCCAGCTGCCACTGGCCAGTTCAAATTTATTATGTTTAAAAATCAAACTAATCTTTTCTCTGACCCTAACCTATTTCCCCCCTTGCATTGGTTATTTATCACCAGAATCATAAAAGCTCAGTGGTTATACAACAATAAATAAAATAAGCAAGTATTTATTACTGACATGACTAGAAGCAAATAGGATTGGCTGTGTGCTTGTGCCATGGTGGTGGAGTTTACTTAAACATCTAGGGATTGGCTGGTTGTAGGATGATTTAGGGTGGCTTTAACTGAACCAACTGGCTTTGCCTGATGTGTATCTAATCCTTCAGTAGGCTGGTCCAGGCTTGTCCTTCTCATGTCAATAGCAGATTCAGAAGAATGGAAACTCAAATTATCTAAGAATGTTTTTAAAACTTTTGCTTGAATCATATTTGCTTAGTACACCAGGTAGTCACATGGTCAAACTCAAGGTCAGATTAAAAAGTGAATGTATATCCACCATTACTAGAGGGCATTGCAATGATATGACAGGGTATAGATATACAGAAGAACGAAAAATTAGTACCAAATACACAAATTACTATACCATTTATATTCCCAAACAGTTAATGGTACCACCTTGGAAGCCATTCTTTTTTTTTTTTTTTTGAGGATGAAAGTTCTTTGTGTCTTTTATTTTTGTGTTTACAGTTGTGTTGTTTAACAAAATCGGCACTTAACTTAATAATTTGATATTTTTTTCACATTTCATTTTCTATATTATAATAAGCATTTAGCATGCATTAACTAAACTTTATAAGCAGAATTAATGCATTGCATATAACAAATTGTATTTTATAATTTAAATTGATCTTGTTAACACTTTTATATTTGAATAGTTTCTAATCTTGCAATACAGTTAGAAAGGTTTATTCATATGCTATATCTGACCAACTCTTAGTTAAATATAGAGGGAGATTGTGTGCCACTGCTCTTGGAGAGGTGTTTCATTACTTAGGACTTTATGAAAATAGTACAAGTCTCTAATGACAATGAATAGACCCACAAGGTGATATGAATGCTATATCGTAATTACCTGATACAAACTCCCATTTATTGCCATAACCACAAACTAATGAAAAGACAGATCCTTTATGTGGTACATGGAATAATGTATCCCCAAAGATTTTATTCCCTAATGCTCGGAGTCTGCGAATACATTACCTTATATGGTAGAAAGGAGCATTGCAGAATGATTGAGGATAAATTTAGAATGGGAGATTATCATAGATTACCCCAATAGGGTCCAACTAATCACTCTTTTTTTTATTTTTTAGTTTGTTCTTTTTTTTCCCCACATTTTTTTATTTCATGTTCTTCACATTATTTAGTTTGCAAAATGAATTTCAATAGGTGAACATTCAATAGGTGAATGAATTTCAATAGGTGAACATTTCTCCCTAGTCCAGTTGATAAAACTATAAAATATCTTCAACAGATAATACATTTCTTTGTCCCATTAGTGCTTTGCTCCCTTATTTTTCTTCTAAATGTCATTCCTCAGACCCTAATCTTTCACACACGCTGTATCTGGTATTTACATCCATATACTGTGTTTCTATATCCTTTAGTTAATCAGTTTCAGTCATAGAGTACAGACACTTGGTATATATTAAGTGGGGACATACAATGTCTCTCCATCATGCCCTGACTTGATTCACTCAGCAGTAAATCTTCCATATTCATCCACTTTCTGTCAAAAGCCAGGATTTTTTTCTTATGGCTGAATAGTATTCCATAGAGTATATGTGCCACAGTTTTTCTATCCATTCATCTGTTCGTGGGCATTTGAGTTGGTTCCATGACTTAGCAATTATAAATAGTGCTGCAATAAACATTGATATGCAAGCACTTTTCCAATTAAGTGTTCTTCTGTCCTTTGGGTAGATACCAAAGAGTGGGATTGCTGGATCATATGGTAGGTAGTTCTATTGGTAGATTTTTGAGGAATTTCCAAATTGTTCTCCACAGTGGCTGGACCAATTTACATTCCCACCAGCAGTGGAAGAGAGTTCCACTTTCACCACACCCCTGACAACACTTATCATTTTTTGTTTTTTTAATCTTGGTCATTCTGACTGGGGTTAGGTGGAATTTCATTGTGGTTTTGATCTGCATATCCCTTACAATGAGGAATGTTGAGCATTTTTCATATGCCTTTTAGCTATTCTTATGTCATCTTTAGAGAGTGGTTTTTTCAACTCATTCTCTCATCTTTTAATAGGATTAATCATCTTTTTTTCCAAACAGCTGCTTGAGTTCTTTGTAAATTCTGGTTATCAGTACCTTATCTGACACATAGTTCACAAAAATATTTTCCCATTCTGAGGGAATATCGATTCACACTATTTACTGTGTCTTTTGCCAGGCAGAAATTTCTTAGTCTGATGTAATCCCACTTGTCTATTTTGGAGATTATCAACTGTGCTTTGAGGGTCTTATTTAAGAAGTCTTTCCTTACTCCAATGCCTCCCAGAGTTTCCCCAGTGTTTTTCAGGAGCAGTTTTATAGTTTGAGGTCTTAGATTTAGATCTTTGATCCACCTTGACTTGATTTTTGTCAAAGGTGAGAGGTAGAGGTTCAGATTCATCTTTCTGCAAGTGGAAATCTAGTTTTTCCAGCACCATTTGTTGAAGAGGTTTTTCTTTTCCCACTGAATTGACTGGTACCTATTGTCAAAAATCAGTTCACTGTATGTTTGGAAATTTATTTCTGGAGACTCTATTCTGTTCCTTTGGTCCACATGTCTGTTTCTGTACCAGTACCGTGCTGTTTTGATTACCACAGCTTTGTAGTATATTTTTGGGTCAGGGAGAGAGATGCCACCACTCCACTCTTGTGCAGAATTGCTTTGGCAATATGGGGCCTTTTATGATTCCAGAAAAACTTTATTCTAGATCTGTGAAGAATGTGTCTAGTAATTTGATTGGCATTGCATTAAACATATAGATTAATTTGGGTAGGATTGCCATTTTGATTATATTAATTCTTCCAATCCAGGATCATGGGATATCCTTCCACTTTTTTGTGTCATTTTCAATTTCTTTTTTTTAGCTTATCATAGTTTTCTTTGTGGAGGTTTTTAACTTCTTTGGTTAGATTTATTCCTAAGTATCTTATACTTTTTGTGGCTATGGTAAATGGAATAACTTTTTTCAGTTCTATCTCAGTCTGCCTGTTGTTCATATATAGAAATGCTATAGATTTCTCTATATTGATTTTGTATCCTGCAATTTTACTGTATTCATGTATTATTTCCAGGAATGTTTTCATGGAAACCCTTGGGTCTTCTTGTCCCGACCCGCAGGACAGTCGAAAGGTTTCCTGAGGGAAGGAGTTTCGCTGATGTGCAGTTTCTCACATCTTCTATGTATACAATCAGGTCATCTGTGAATAGAGAGAGTTTCACCTCTTCTTTTTGTATTTTTCCCTCTTTTCTGATTGAATTGCCAAGGACTTCCAGTACTATATTGAAAAACAGTGGAGAAAGTGGGCATCGTTGTCTTGTATCCATTTTTAGTGGAAAAACTTTCAGCTTTTCTCCACTGAGGATGATGTTTGCTGTGGGTTTTTAACAGATAGCTTTTATTGTGTTGCGAAATTATCCTTCTATGCCTATTTTGTTGAGAGTCTTGATCATGAAGGGATGTTGTATCTTATCAAATACTTTTTCTGCATCAATTGATATGACCATATGATTTTTATCTTTCTTCCTACTAATATGGTTTATTACATTTATGGTATCATTAAAACAGTTAAGGACAGGACAAGGAAAGATGCAAAGATTCTCAACAAGATACTAGCAAATCATATCCAACCACTTACAAAAGGATTATACATCATGATCAGGTAAGCTTTATTTCAAAAATGCAAGGTTGGTTCAACATATGGAAGCCATTCTTAACCCTTCCCTTTTTCTTTATTATCTATGGATATCTAATTGTTTATCAAATTTTATATTCTCCCACCAAGATAACTCTGTAGGCTATCCTCCATCCTTTTTTTCCTATATAATATAGCCATCCTTTTAAACTATATTTATAATATTGGGAGGAAGGTAAGACTGTGTTTAAAAGGCAAATACTTGGGCCAGCCATGGGCTGGTGGTTACATGAGCTGGATCCCACATGGCTGAACATGCAGTTTGAACCTGAACCCAGCAACTTGAGGAACATCCTGGGCACATGTGTATGCATACCCAAAATCTCAAAAGGAGGGAGAAATGGAAGAGAAAGGAATGTAGCATGATTATTCCCCATGGGGAATGCTTTCTCACTTTCCTCTCTTTCTCTCTTTCTGTATATCTCTATTATGAGCAGTTGTACCCTCTGGAAAATTAAATAAATAAATAAAAATCAAACCCCTTCTATCCTTTTCCTATCAGAGTCAAGACAGGTAAACATAATAAAAAAATACAACATGCTGATAAACTTCAATGTTTATATCTCCAGTTCTTATATTTCGAATGCCCAATTGACATTTCTATGTGATGTCCAATAGACATCTTAACCATACACATTCAGAAAAGGACACTTAATTTACACAACAAGCATGCCCCTCTCACCAAGACATTCTGATTTCCATAAACTACACTACTTTCTACCTGGACACTCAAAAGTGTAAAAGACATTCTTGATTCATCCCTTTCCCTTAGCTCCCCAAACCTATTTTCCAGAAAATCCTGATAGTTGGGCTCCCCAAAATAAAATCCCAAATTTACTTCTGACCAATCTTTGTAGCATTACCTTACTTAACTAATCTTTTCTATTCTGTCTCCCAACTAAGCTCCATATATCAGGCAGAAGAATCATTTTAAAATGTACGGCATATCATGTTACTTCATTTTATTTTAGAGAGATATTTTTGCTATAGGGTGCCCATGCTCACTGGAAAGACAGACAGACAGAGAGAGAGAGACAGCAAAAAATCACTCCCCAGGGGGCATGGACACACCGCAATCCCTTTTTCTCCATTCTCCTCTTAGGATTTTGAGTAAGCATGCACTCATGCCATTGTGAATTTTAAGCTGCCTGGGTCAGTCCAGGACCCCAACCACAGTCAACTATGTGGGAGTCCAGTGATGTAACCATTACACCATCTGGTCCCATCTCATGTAACTTCTGTGCCTAGATCCTCTAGTAGTTTCCCATTGCATTAATAATAAAACTCAAATTTATTGAAGTGACTTTTAAAGCCATGTATACTGTAGTCTCTGTCTACTTTGCCATCTTTCTAATCTGCCACTCTCCCCTACTGTAGTCTCTGTCTACTTTGCCATCTTTCTAATCTGCTACTCTCCCCTCTTCCAGTCTCTTTTCTATTAAAGATGCCTAGTTCCTTCCTACCTGAGGGCTTTTGTAATTGTTGACTCATCTACCTTAAAATTCTCTACCACCTGTTGGGTCTTTGTATTTCACAATACATCTTTATTACTGTTCCTCAGAATAGTCTTCTCTAAATCAAATATAAATTATCCACCTATCCTCTTCTCTCAGTCTCTACACATTATTGTATTTTCTTTATAACACAGCCTCTGAAATTATTTTTTTCTTTATTGCTTGTCTCCCTGATTAGAAAATAAGCTCTATGACTACAGAAATCTTATCATAGCATAAAGTAGGTGCTCTATGAATATTTCTTAAATGAGTGACGCACATTAAGTGGTCAGGAAAGAGACACAGCAAAACTGGTCTTTCAAAGTAGGCAGTTCACTCCAGAACCTATTCTTTTAACTTTTATGATGCAATTTAATTAATAATCTTTATAAACACAAATAAAGGTACTGTCTTCATTATCATTTCTTTAGTCATTCATGGAGCACAGTAATAATTAATTATATTGTATGCAAAAAACAAGCTGGGTTACTATATTTCATATAGCAGGATTATGAACATATTATAGGAACACAGAAGGAAGCTACTTGAAATGTTTACTGACAACTGGTAACTCATAAACCATAGCTTTAAAATCATTGGCTCAAAATGTTTCTTTCAGTTCTGCATTTTAGGAAAAACTGTCAATATAAGTGAATTTAAAATTCTGTGACATGTTGGGCTTTATGTACTCATACTACAGTTGCAATGACATTGCAGAATCTTTATATTTAGGAGTGCAAATGCTCCATAAAATTGAATAATCATACATACTTAAGGAGGACAGAAAAATTGAGAATAAGTATGAACTTAAAACTAACTCCTAATATTAAATAGTCTTAATTATTTCCCTGTCACTATTTTAATATACTTTTAAGAAAGACACTTAAAAGTCTATATAAAATAAGTTACCTGCAAATGAGACAGAACTTTTTTTATATTTTCTATTTCTGATGTTTGTGATTGCTGTTGCTTTGCAACTTGCTCTACAGCACTAGTTAATGAAGATGTGTCTTGTTTACTCATAGCTAGACAAAAGAATAGAGTGCATAAAAATTAAAATGCAGACATTTTAAGAAAGTTATGCTTCTTAGCTCAAAATCATGAAAAACTTTCTTCTTTTATTTCTCATGAATAAATTTTAGTACTCTTCCTTTTCTGACTATAAACAAAACCAAAATCAAGGCGGTAATAAAAGGCAATTCAATTACCTACAGCAATACTATCCCTGTTCCCTTATGAAACAGAATAAATATTTTGATTTTTTTAAATTTTTTATACAGGCAACTTGCAAATATCCTATAATTACATTGCTATCATAACAATTTTATAGCAATTATAGTTGATGCATTTTCATTAAAGGCCTGTATTTTCAGGTTGTTATACTTTTTCTAAACACTGTATATGTTTCTTTCTAGCCCAATTTAACTGCTTCCTTCTATTTTAATTTGCAATTAATTTTAATACAATTTTACTATCATACTACTTTTTCGTCACTGATCTTTTAACCATTTATTTCTTAAGATGGCTTCCTTACCTTCTACTTCATTACCTTTTTATTGCTATAATATTAAATTGACAAGTAATAATATACTAGAACCCAGAGAAGTCGGTAGGGGGGCTGAGAAAGTTTGACTAATGTATACAAAATTACAGTTAGATAAGAATAAATTCTAGAATTTATCACCTTCTTTAGGAATTCCTTGACTCTTCCTTTCTTTGTTGCCTGACATTCTCTGTCAGTAATCTTCTCTTTTCCCCCTTTTGGTTTACCTTCTTGATACCTACAAAATAGTCTATACTGATAATTTTTTACTTTTCTTTGTTTTTGTTTTTCTGTCAAGTATCATTAATCCTAAAAGTTAAATTAATTCTCAAATATATCCTTGAGATGGCAATGTCATCATTAGCGCCAGGAATTACATTACAATAGTTAAGGGAGAGAATTTGGAAGCAAAAAGAAACTGTATTTGAGTCTTCTTTCTTTCTTTTCAGCTATTATGAGTTTGACTATGTTTCTTAACTTCTTTGATCCTCAGTGTCTTCAACTGTAAAATCTTGCTGGGCTGTTGTAATTATTAAAGTAATATCTGTAACATGCTTAGCACAGTATCTGACATACACTGACTACTTATTATGGATTAGTAGCAGGTACCCCCAAGTACTTTGATGAAATTCATTCTGAAACTATAACTAGAATCTGTTGAGATACAGTGTCAGCAATTTCCATCATTGAATATAGGGAATGCAGTACTCCTGTCTAGTGCTATTCTGGCCAGGGTAAGCCCTAGCCTGGTTTAAAATAATATTTAGGTCTATTCTTTATTTAGGAATAACTGCTAAAATGAAAGGGTACTTTCTCCTTTGAAAGAAGGAGAGAGTTTCTTCCGATTAAAGAGTACTAAGATGGAAAAATTAAAGATATTACCAGCTTCAATAAAAAGGGTATCTGAGGGACCAGCAGATGACATAATGGTTATGTTGCTGGACTCCCACATAGTCAATGGCAGTTCAAGTCCGGGACCCAGCAGCTTAAAACTCATGCTGAGTGCACATGCATGCATGCCCCAAATCCTAGGAGAATGGAGAAGGCATTGCAGTGTGGCCATCTCCCTTTGAGGGTGACTTCTTGCTTTCTGTTTCTCTGTCTCTCTCGGGTGAGTGCACATGCCCTATAGCAAAAGTCTCTTTAAAAAAAAAAAGGCATCTGAATTTGCCTATCCATTCCAGAGGAGATGGCACATGTTTTCATGGTTAATAAAAGGAATTCAGCATTGTTAAGTTACTTTTGTCATCAATTTAATGTTTATAAATAATGTTTATGCATCAGAATCTTTTTGGTTTAAATGATTGATCCTTTTTTAAAAAAAAACTCTTAGTTGATTTTATAGAAACTGAGTATTTTCAAATCATTTTAATCATTGAAGTGATTGTAGACTTCAATGGCAAACCAAAACAAGTGAAATATTATTGTAACAGTAAAGTGCAGATAAGGAAGCCTTCACAAGAGAAGTCAGCAAACAATCTTTCCTAAAAATTGGTTAAGTAAAAGGCGCTAGTTATATGCTTTTCTCCCCAAAAAAATAAAGGGTTGAATCTGACATGTAAACAAAATAAGAAAAACAAAGTTAAGTTGCTTTCTAAGCAAGGACACTCAAATCTATCTAGAAATATCCTACCTAGTTAATGAAATTCTGACATCTTAACTAGCACATTGTCACAATCACTTCTGAGAATTTATGATTCTTTCCTGTCTCTTCATGTCACTTTTTTAAAAATTTCACTTCAAACTTACCTCCTTCATGGTTTTCCCTGATGCTGACTGAGCCCATTCACTCTGTTCATGCTATTACTGTGTCCTTTCTGCCTAACACAGAGAACTATCCCAGATGAGTACTGATAATTCAAAGTGGATTCTTTTGTTTTATTTTGGGTATCATGGTCACAAACTTAATCCTTTATTCTATCTACCTACCATGAAATGCATGTCTTCTACATTTATATTTTCAGTCAGTTCTCTCAATTGACCACAATGATAAATACTAATATCCTGCTTACTCTGTGCTATATACTGTTCCATGTGCTTTGTGTAACAAACAACAAGATTACAGTCTTTATTTTGAGCCAGGTGGAATTCTAAGAACTGAAAAACATTAAGTAATTTAACTCTATGAAATAGATACTGTTTTTTATCATTTCTATTTTATAGAAAAGTACAGTGAGGCATAAATAGGTCAAAGAATTTACCCAAAGTCAGACAGGTATTAGGTGTAAGAGAGATGATTTGAATTCAGGTATTTTGGCTTCAAAGTTCATATCCCCTTTTTTAAATTTAAATTGCCAAATGGCATGTGTGCCTGCCAGAGAGAGAGAGAGTGAAGTGACTCAAGAGGAAGAAAGAAAGTATTCCCCAGTAGGATGTATTCTTGCCACAATCTCTTCTCCTTCAATTCTCTATCATTTCAGTACATGGGGTATGCACATACATGCCCCCAGTGTGTTTCTCAAGCCAACAGGGTCAGAATTCAAATTGCTGTTGACCATGTGGGATCCAGGTCCTTTAACCATAAGGCTATAAGGCTAGCCCCAAAGTTGATGTTCTTGATTCTGGATTATATCAGACTACCAAGATTAAAACTTTTTAAGGGCAAAACCATGTCTTTTTATATCATTCCAGAATCAAGTATTTTGTATTCCTGTACTACTGTCACTTTAATTAATTTCCTATTTTCTGTTCCTACCACTATTTATATTTCCTTAAGGAACTACTTCAGTAAAGTGTACTGATGGAGTTACTGCAGCTCCTATAGACCTCCAATGGCCTTAACACCACAATCTATGTGACTGATGAGTTCTTCATGCTCCTAGTACTTTCCTGGTAGGTAAATTGCCTTCTTGGTGAATCCCTGTTTCTCTCTTCCTCAAATCACACTGTCATTTCCATAGCAGGTCTAAGATGCTATGGCATGGGCACTATTCTTATAATCTACATCCCTGCTAACTTCAGTTTCCGGAAGCCTAAGTCTTCTGGATCATTCCTCATCAGAAAGATCCTATCTTAATCGATTCGATAACTCCTTAAATTAATGCTGTTACATGTTCCTCAATGCTTTTATAAATCTTTCCATTGTAACCTCTGAAATTTAAGGTCCATCTTCAGCAAAATCCTATCTTCAAACTCTTGAGTCAACTTTCTTTCACCTTTTTACACAAATTAAAAGCCAAAGTTTGATTTTTTTTTTTCTCAAGCCACAAAGTCTGGTGGTGAGATATTTTTTTGTATCCCCAATACAACTGCCAAATGATTATGCTTCTCTTCTAAAACCTTCCAGTTTCTTTGAAGTTCTTTTCATCAGACAATATAAACTTTACCTTTTCTTGCTGTTATTAATTGACCTCCAAATCTCTTCTCCTAACTCCTGGATTATAGTACCTGATTTACTATTTTTCTTGTCCTCAAGGAAAACATCATCTCTCCTCTTACAGTTTAGGGAATGTCAACATCCACACGGATGGTACATCTCATATCCTGATCACTCAGTTCTTTGATGTCTTCTCTTATCTATCCTTCCAAGACATAGATTATAACTGTACCTCATTCATAATTGTAGATTCAAACTACATTGTAATTTTCCAGCTCATCCCATCTAGCATTTTGACTGTAATAGTTGTTTAACAACAAGACTTCCAATACTCTTCCAATTGACTCTTCTACCTTTATATTATCCTTCGGCCCCTCATGTATTCTTCCCTTGCTTAGATTCTTTTGCATTCACCTGCACTTTCCTTACAGCTCTCTCCGTTCTTTTTCTCTGGGGGTGGTGGGAGGGGAGAATTGCTTTGCTTACACTCAAGTAGCTAAATATGCTTAAAGACACAAAACTGTTATGTGATTGTCACTTTAAATTCAAAGCCAATAATATATTAAGTGGCTTGATCCTAGGCTTTTAAGATTCAAGTTTCAAAGGTTATTATGTCACACCTTCTCTTCTGTCTTCAAACCTCTCAAATCTCTTTTCCTTTCTTTTTTCAGCTACCTTATTTAACTGCGTTGGTAGAATGAAATCAGAGATTGGTAAGCTGCCCATCTACCCCTCTTTCTGCATCTGTATTTGTATACTAGTCTACCCCCCTCTTGCAATAAGTAAGTGTCCTCCTATTTAAGGCTATTGTCTACTTTAGTATTCTTTTCTCATCTCAAGGACTGACAGGCAAACCTCATTTTATGGGACTTCATGCTTGCATCTCTGTCACATTTTGTTAGTTCTCACATTTCAAATGTTTTTGTGGTGATTTGTAATAAGTGATTTTCAATGTAACTATCAAAATTGTTTTGGAATCCCACAGGCTACACACATTCAAGACAGTAAAATTAATCGATAAATGTTTTATTTGTTCTGACTATTCCACTTACTGGACGTTCCCTCATCACTCTTCCTCGTCTTGAGCTTCCTTATTCCCTGAGACACAACAATATTGAAATTAAGCCAACTAATAACCCCACAATGGCCTCTAAATAGTCAAGTGAGAGAAAGAGCCACACACATCTTATTTTAAACGAAAAGCAAGAAATGATTAATCTCCCTGAGAAAGGCACGTTAAAAGCCCAGACAGACCAAAAGTTAGACCTCTTGGGCCAGACAAGTTGTAACTGCAAAGGAAAAGTTCTTGAAGGAAATTAAAAGTGCTACTTCAGTAACATATGAATAATAAAATGGCAAGACAGTCTTATTGAGGATATAAACCAAGTTTTAGTGGTCTGGATATATTTTCCTTTAAGGCAAAACTTAATTCAGAACAAGGCCTTAGCTCTTCAATTCTGTGAAGGTTGAGAGAGGTGAGGAAGCTAAAGAAAATTTAGAGCTAGCAGACATTGGTTCATGAGGTTTAAGGAAAGAAACCATCTCCACAATATAAAAGTGTAAGGTAAAACAGTAAGTGCTGATGTAAAAATTGTAACAAATTATCCAGAAAATCTAATTAAGATAATTGGTCATGAGGCCAGCAGGTGGCATGGTGATTACGGGTGCTGGACTCCACCATGGCTGACTACAGTTCGAGTCCGTGACCTGGCAGCTTGCTTTCTCACTTTGTTTCTCTCTCTCTCTCTCACTTTGTCCCACTCTGGTCAAATTAAACTAAGTAAATAAATAAATAAAGTTAAATAAAAATAATTCTGTTTTTTTTTTTTTGAGAGGTTTTTGCTATAGAGCGTGTGCACTCGCCAGACAGAGAGAGAAACAGAGACAGAAAGCGAGAAATCACCCCCCCACACACGGGGGATGGCCACGCCGCAATCCCTTCTCCT